ATGAGACATATGGCACATGAAAAATTGTTATCATTTCATTCATTCATTCGTCAATTCATCCGACACCCATCTACGCAATGCAGGCGGACACGGTTCACATCCTGACACCGTGTCTGCCTGCCATCCAGGCGGCGAAGGAATGTGATGACGTCACACAGAGCTCACACACGCCGCCGCCGGCTCCTGGTCAGTGAGACGGCCCGCTGACCGAGATACAGGAGAGTACCTCCGGTGAGGCAGATCAGAGCGCGCGCTACAAGTGCTTAGAGGGGTGGATGGGGCCGGGATGGAGCTGGGAGAGCTTTGTGAACTACGAAGACAGAGGTGGTAGGGGTTGATAAAGAAGGAAAGCACAGTCACGCGCTCAGTTCCACGCAAGTGCAGGGACGGATTTGGAGACCAATTAGCTCTGTCAAGACTGTGCTGACTGCTGGGAAAGCGTTCACTCTTGAATCAAGAAGTCTGATGCAAATAAGCAAAATTCAGCAGATGTCCATCGACACCAATCTTATAAGGACCATGACGGTCGCTGACCACTCTTCCTGGTGACGCTCGCTCCAACATGGGCGCGGGCCTCTCCGCGGGAAAGTAAAACGGGCGTGGCCGTGCGCTCCTGGGAAGCGAAGTCGGCGCCTCCACCGCGCCACCGCTCGCCACCACCGCGCCGCAATGGCCTCCGCCTCGAGAAGCCGGGAAAGTGGCCGGCCAGTCGGTAGCCCGGCTCTGTGACACGGGTCATTCGCTCCCGTGAGACAAATCCCAGTCGTGAGAATACCGGGGATTCGTGTTCCAAAGTGGTCAGCGGAGGCTGAGAGAGGATTCGAAAGGCGTGGCGTCAGCTCGTTTCGATATCATGGGTTTGATTTGTGTAGGTGCGAGGTTGGGTGCAATTAGTGGTATACATACTGGTATGCAATCTGTGGTACAAAATTTGTTGATAAATCATGAGCAGACGCAGTCAAGTGATGACACGGGGCTAGCGTCCAAAAAAAAAATTGAAGCATGCCACATCTTTTGCTTGATATGTTCATGTTGAAACACTCAATATCCCTGTTTTAATCCAACTATGTGGAGTAAGGAATCCATGAGGAATGCGGGTGCGATTACCAGCTGATTAGCGATGCGTTTTCACTCGGCAATAAAGTCTGTCCGAGGACACACTAACCAAGCGTTAACCAGGCGCCTCTCATCCGAACCACGCGGCCAGATTCCATTTCGGCGGTGGGAGGAATTTATGACGATAAGGTGTCCATCAAGGCTCCATTTTTTTCGACTCCGCTAACGCTGCGCCTTTTAATAATTAATTATAACAGCCTGACAAGGGAAAAACTGAGACATTGGAAGTGACACAAGAAACACGTTTTGTAGAATGTCTGTTAGTGCCACCTAGAAACACTGTTCTATTTTCAGTTCTTCTAGGAATCAACAAACCCTCATTCCATTTCAACACACCCCTTCACTTCCCCCGAACCACTCTCCCTAATGGCCAACCATCCTCTCACATTCCCGCCCCTATCAACCACTTCAGGAACGTCATGTCTCCGCCATAAAACTGTAATCCCCCTCACCCCTCACCTCCACTGATTCCTCACATACCTACCCACCGGCAGCCTTACTCAACCCACCCACCCTTACCCCGAAAATCGGCCGGCGCCTAGATTCGACCCCGCCGCCGGAGGGTATGGTCGCGCCGCGCGCACGGCTGGAATTCGCTCTATAGCCGGAATGTGAAAGTGTCTACGCGGTGGCGGAGGCTGGCGCGGTGCTTGGAGCTCGGGCCTGTTCATGGTCGTCGGGTTTTCTCTACGATCAGAAGTCATTATGGCTAAGCGTTGCGGGAGGCTGTGTCGGGGGGAGTTGGGACGCAGAGGGGAGGGAGGGGGAGGGATGATGTTGCAGAGATGTGGAAAACAGCCTGGGTGGTCTCGTGGGGTGGGGTGGGGACTGAGAGGGGAGAGCTGGTTTGATAGATTGCTGCTGCATTCAAGTTTTACGGAGAGGAATTGCATTTAATTTATTTGTTTTCGTTTGTAAAACAGCTACGGAGGCTATAGCTTGGCGGCTATGACTTCATAAAAAGGCGTTCGTTTTATTGCACTATTTAATTTGTTTGTCGGCAAGACAAGACCACTAAAACATCATGTGGGCGGCATCTAAACAGGAAGTTAAGCGGTGTTATCTTGGCGTCGTAATCCATGCATGACAATCAGTGTCACTATCCGATCATTGCCGATCATAGACAACCCAGTCAATCAGCTAGTGCAGTGATCTGCAGACCGATCAGATGCCATTCATAGTATCAGTCGGTCGCACATTCTGGCCCATAACTCAGACCTGTGACATCACTATCAGTTGGCGACAGCCACAGCGCTGGCCGGTAGATAACTGGTGTTGCTAATGTGAGACTGCCGTCGACGTACCATACAATGAGAAGCGATAGGCACTGGTGATAATACGTGGAATCAAGCGACGAGGGCCATTGATATTTCATGGTGACTTTTTTAGACCGGTCCGGTCGACAACTGAGGTGAACTAACTGGGCTTCTCTTTAGACAAGATGTGTTCCTACATGGGCATTTTCCTTCTCTGGCTGACAATCCTGGCACCTGTCATTGATCACTTTCAAGGCCGACCCTTTCCTCTCTTTCTCTCTCTATTCAACCACATGCAAAAAAAAAGAACAAAGGTGAGCTCGAGGGTCAGCAGTTCTTGTTTCCAACGGACCCAGTCCTGTGAGGATAATCTCAGCCGAGGACCAGCCACTCCTCCAGCCCACCCCCAACACAAGGTCATGCCTGGGTCCGGACCAATGTGTGTCACTGGACTTCTTTTCTTGTCGCTTCTCTAACCCGCTTAGGCCTCTCATTAGTTTCCAGTGGAGCGGCGCAAAAAAATAGAAACTCTGGGCGGTTCCACCAATCGTGTGAAGAGCCGAGTGCTTCAGAGCATGAAAACCTCTGCGGTGACACTTGACTGAGTTTTACCAGAGTTGTCATAAATATGCTACTAATTTCGCTACCGTGTTTCTTTTAAAGTCCATTCGTATAAATAGGTATCACAGATATACTGAAACAAAACTAGACCAGAAAAAATGTTATGACCCAAACTGACCTGGATTCAATAAAGAGAACAGGTTCTGTCACTAAAATTCTATCACATTCCAGGAGAAATGAGATCATTCCGCCGATTATGAGTATGGTCTGGTTAGCGACAGATGGCGTTGTCATTCAGGAGCCGTATGAGGGCCATCGGAATCCGGCGATCGTGCTATAATAATCGGGTTTCTAGGTTCATTTTAAATCGGTCACGTTCGCTCTAAAAGTGACAGCTTGGCAACGGTGTATGATTTTTTCATGGTGTCGTAAATGTCGAAGATTTTCTTCAAAATGACAGCAGTCAGCAACCCAAGAATGTTTTGCTAGCTGGGCATCTCAATTTGGTCAGTTGTTTTGATTTAGTTTTTTTTTGTGAATAACTGATCTTTTTAAAAGTTGGGAAGTTGGAACGTTTCTTGAAGCATCATTTCCATAAATGCATGTAAAATCAGGTCTTCTCGCACCGACCAAGGATTATGTTTAGCTCCTCTGAGACCCATTCAGGTGTGCGCTGAGTGGGCCCACTGAGGGAGAGAGTGATTTCCGTCCACACTGAGCGCCGCTGCTGAGCCGATGGTCGAACCCGGCGGACACGCGCTCTCTAACAGAACGGGCCCGGTCACCCGGAAACCACAGGGGAGGGGCGCGTGCGACCGGGACCGGGAGGAGACCACTGGACGGACCAGGGACCAGGACCGGGACCGGGACCATGTCTGAGAGAGCAGGCCTGCAGGACCAACGACCAGGGCCGCCAGAGATTGGGAGATTCAGCGCAGAAGTATACATGATGTGGAAAGTATACTGAAGTAATTATGCGTGCGGAAAATTGGCTGAAGGGTCGAGTGACTTTGGCTTGTTCAAAGCTTCATTTCCGTTGACTTGTCTCTGAAATAATGTTGTAGCTGGGCTTGATTTAGCCATGTGATATCCTTCGTAAAATAAACATGAATAAAAGAAAACAGAAAAACGGAAATATCTTACTGAGCTCAGAAGAAATACATCTATGTACCTATGTCACTTTCCCGGCCCAATTTCTGTCCATCTTTTTTTTTTCGTCGCGTCACCTATTTCTGCAGTGTGGTCTGTTGCACGCCACACTCACATCTGCCCCTGTTGGCCACCCTATATTCCTCGTGGATCATTCAGAGCGCGTTAATCTGATCATCTCGCGTAGCTCTCACTTCCTGCACTGGAATCGGTCCGAATTCAGTGCGCGCAGTGGACTGTGCAGCCGGTGGCCACCCATCAGATGCACCCATTCGAACGAGGGGTCAGCGCGCGCCCTGGTGGAACGCCGCCTCGAGTGCCGCAGGGAAGGGGTGACGAGTGGAAAGGAAAACAGGAGCTATCGGCGTGGCATCGAGTAAACAGAGCACCGGTGCGTGCCAGCTGACCTGTATCGAGGAACATCGACAGGGGTCAGTGTGGTCAGTGATGACCGTGCCAGTTATTACATTCTTGAATAGATAGTGTAGCTGTTCGTCTAAAAAACTGTTTAGGGCGAAATCTAGGTCAGGGTTTTGGTACAACAACGCGGTGTTTCGGTAGTTTAGGGCTTTGCGTCGAACGTAAACTTTTTCAGTATTTGTTGTTGTGCTATACGGTAGAGCGTATTTGAGATGATAATAAAAGGTGCGGTCGGCAAAATAGGTCATAGGAGTGTAGAGCGGCACGACAGCAATGCATCAACTCACAAAACGTATCGTTCAGAAAGCCCATGCTCGAGGAAAGAAATAATGAGTAGAATTAGTAATAAAAAACAATGATTAAAAGGAAAATTGGAAATAACACAAATACGAAAACGAACATAAAACGAAACGGCAAAATCTTTGGAAATTGGACAAAAATATATAAAAACAGGAGGACGGAAATAGATCGGCAGGAAGTATGCTACTGAGTACTTACCGGACGAGCCTCATGGTCCTCCGCTCGAGCCTTCCCCTGGCCAGCGCCACCTTCTGTCGACACCGGGCCAGCAGACCCGCCACAGAGTTCGGGTACACAACGTCCAGCGCCCTCGCCACACGGTCCAACATGTTCACCCGCTGGCTGAAGTCACTCTGAAGTCACAGCGCTCGAGCGCGGCGTACGAAACGGTTCACTGTCGTGAGTCACCTGGAGCGTTTCCGAACCGAGCACATCTCTCTAAGCTCGCACAGCACGGCTCTGAATCCTCACGAAGGTTGGTGATCAGGAGTCGATGCGACACGAACCACCCTCGCCTCTAACACGCGCCGCAATGAGGAACAAGTGGCACACCGGCTCGGCGCTGAGGTTCGGCCGCCGGCCGCCAGGCGGCAGCACGGTCGCCGACTCTCGATCGGTCCGGTTTCTCTTATGTTCGTCCCGTCGCTATGCGGCCGACGGTGTTACAGGTGCATAGTTTTAGGAGGACCCGGGAGTCGGTGAGGGCACGAGGCAGATCTGGTGGGACATTGGTTCTATGGGGGTCTGTGGTCACCGAAGCTGTGATGGAATGGAGCACATACCTGATTTAGGTACTTTTTCATCTACCTATACCTACCTATTCCTACCGAACATTATTTTTTCGGCTCCGCCGTATGATTTAAAAAAAAATCTTAATAACCGTTCCAAATAGTTGTAACATATTATATATTTACTGATTAATTCCAAAGTACTTTACCTACTGTGCAATAAAAAACACTTATCCCTCGCCGGACCTATTGGTTTTCTACATACGCGCCGGCCGAGGGGGGGGGGGGGGCGGGTACGACCCCCCTCGCCGTTTCGCCCCTGGTGGAGCTAGCGCGTCGCGGAAAAAACGAGCGTGTGTGCCGTTACGAGACGCAGAGATTGGTACCCGATTTTAAGGTCCTAGGTCAACCGGTGACCTCTGAGGTCAGGTCAAGTGCCCCAAGGTACGGTTCAGTTTTTGGTGAATAACTTCGCAAAAAACGGCCGCAGAGCGCCGATTTTGGCAGCATCGTGTTCGTCTCGCTCAGGCGCGTCGAATGATATACTTTTTGTCCGGGTCAGGTCAACTTGGGGTGTTGACCTCAGGTCAAGGTCAGGTCAGCACCCCCAGGTCACGAAGCTGGTCGAAAGAGGTCATGTCGCATATCATTCGATTCTGCAGGTCTTCCTGAGTCCATTGGTGGCTTTCCCGACTCGCTAGCTCAATTTGATCAAGAGTTATTGACGAAAAACTAATATGACCTTGATGACGTCATAAATGACGTCACGCAAGGTCAACATTGCAAAAGTGACGCATCTAACCTTGCAAGGAGTGCATCAAATCATGATTCTGTGTGCTTGAGATAGTTGGAGATCGTTCCCGGCGCCAGAATAGCAGTTTTCATTTTTCCCCATTGACTTATAATGGTGAGGTCACGAAAATGACCTGACCTCATATGACCTTTAGGAAAAATCCGAGATATACAAGTTGTGGGACTCATAATGGATACTAGATCCTGCAAGTTTCATTTCCCTGTGACATCTCCTCTGGCAGTGAGGGCGTTGCAAAGTTGCGACATCTGAAGACCGTGCAGAGGCTTACTTATGACGTCATAGGTCAGTGACCTGACCTGACCCAAAAATGCGGTTGGTGTCAAAAGATGCGGCTTGGATCAAAGGTCAGGTATGCGAAGTTTCAGCTCTCTATTGCCAGCGTGTTCGGAGCTATCGCGAAAAAACCCTATGGGGGGGGGGCGGCACCCGCCCCCCCCCCCTCGGCCGGCGAGGGTTATAATCGCGGTATAATTAAAATCATGTTTTAGCCAAAGCAAAAGATAAAGAAAGTGATGCTTTGATAAGCACCTCGTTCGACCTTACCAATGGTCAGTCTACAAAAGGACTAAAATATATCCGTAGGTAGGTATATAGTCTGACAGCCAAAATTGTAACACGGCCTGTCCTTGCCTCTGAAGCCCAGTTTCCGATTTCGGAAACGGCGTACCGATCCTTGCCGATACAATGGTGAACAAACTTCAATGCCGTCCACGGCCAGGGGTAAAAAGCAGAAGGTGTCACCAGCGGCGCAAACTCCCGGCTCATGTCACGACAAACTAACCATCTATGATCGCGGGCGGAAGCGCGGCGCCTATGCATGGCTCGTGAAATACAATGATCATGTCATAAGTCACAAAGGTTAGCAAATGGCTCTATAAAGAGACGCCCAGCGACGCGCAGGTTTCCGTTTCATTTCACTCGTGCAAGGCTCAGTCTATCAGACGATTTACCATTCATGCAGTGAATGCAGCTTTGAAACAATCCATCGTGATCAAGTCGGCGGCGTCATGAGCCGGCGTAAACTTATCTAAATATATATATATTGAGTAGGAAAAACATACAGCACATGGGTGGACGCGTTTCGTCAGAGACTTTTTCAACACCCGAATATCGACAAAACAATACGAACACACAAGAACAAAGCTAGCAAGCACAGTTTCATACCTGTTGATATATCGCGTGTACATATTATGAGAATGTGCCTAAATGCAAATACACTTCCAATACTGCGCGTCAGTTAAATGGCAAAGAAAGAGAGAATACATATATAAGACAATTCATGTTGACACTATCTGTTGTTTTGTCGATATTCGGGTGTTGAAAAAGTCTCTGACGAAACGCGTCCACCCATGTGCTGTATGTTTTTCCTACTCAATATATATCTATTTGTCTATACATCACTTATCTAAATATATTATTTTCATTGAATAAGAATCAAATGGATAGGTAAAGAAATGGTAAAGCCTTGTCCGAATACTTTATCAAACTGACTTACAGTATCTCGCTTTATTTATATCATATTCCATGGATCAAGTAAAAATACTTACTAATACTTTACTTTTTGGAAGATACTTGTAAAAATTTAACGTTTCCCCGTCTTCATTGGTAGACGTCTCCGTCTTCTTCTTCAACACATATTTTCTTTTCTTACCTCATTCTAACTCGTTCCAAGTTTCTCGACCACCAACACTGACGTTGCCTGCGTGTTTAGAAGCTCTGACCCGATATTGGATAATTATCCGACAACTACCATCCCAGCTACTGTGTCGGACCCTCCTCAGCATATCACGGCCCCACACCGCGTCAATCTTCCTCGGGGCAGGGCGTGGCCGAGTGCGTGCACGCGCTGCCTCGTGCGTGGCGCAGACCATGCCCCAGGCTGATCTGTGGAGGGGTGGGTTGAGTTATGATGACACCTAATAGACGTATCGGGCACAAGAGGGAAGTGGGTAGATTAGAGAGGGCTGAGACGCTTCGGAAAGGGGTGCGAAGGGAGGAGATAGGCAAGGAAGAGTGATTTATGCGTGAGTTTGCTACGGATGAGATGAAGAGGAAGAGGGGTAATCGGTGTTAAATCTTCATTAGGATGTTTTAGTGAATGGTTCAATTGCGGTGAGGACATATTGGCGTGTTCTGCGGGATCTTCTGCGAGTCTAGTGTGGTAATGTTTGATAAAGTGTGGCTTAGGCAGGTGCTTATACAAGTGTAATGCGAGATGATTATCAATTATGATGGGTTTACTGTCAGGATTAATTGCTAGGAGGATATATGGCAATGTTTAAGCAGAAATAGCGGTACCGCTCGTGCTTCAAATTGAAAAAATCTCAGGGAGGAAAAACTGCCGACGTTCTTAAGTCTTCACTTTAGTTTTTTTTTTATAAAGTTTCGTAAAAAACTAGTCAGTGTCATTCGAAAAATAACTATACGCACTAAGCAGTTGCCCTTGAAATGAAAGTCGGGCTGCCTAAAACAGCTCATATGTATCCAAAGGCAGCCACCTTACGCAGCAACCTTACTTACATCTTCATAAAGGGTCACTACGGTAATCCCATTCCACTCTTACTGGGTGCTGAGCGCTGTACCGGTTATAATGCCGCTAGTCCAGTGTTTCCCGCATAATCGTCTCATTTTCTAACGGCGAGCTGCGATCCGCTGTTCCAGAGATGTCGGAGAAAGCCCCGGCGGACACTGGGCTCAAGTGTGGGAGACCAGAGATCCACAGATGTCCGATTGTGAAAAGGGTAGAAGACCTGGTGAAAGGCGTGTGAACGCGTTTTGTCAACGAATTCTAGAGAAATGTCTTCCAACATAACGTAAGCAGCCATAGACCACTATGCTATGCATAGTCTATGGCCTGTGAATAGGTATATAGTTAGGTGTGAACGCGTTTTGTCAACGAATAGTAATGACACTGAGTGTTATGTCACAGTGACCATTGAGGGAATGTAGTACGGTCAGTCTGTGGTATTCATCAATCGGGTAATAAGTACGAAATTGCTTACATTTTTACCTGGTCGACAGGACATGTGAATGGGTAGAACGAGCGGTTTCAGCTACCTCAGTTCGTGTCGAGTGTTGGGCAGGGTTTTCAATTATTGCTACCAGCTGTTTTCACGACGGCCACCTGGCACACATTTGGTGCCGAATACGTGCGGAGTTTATGCAGACCTGTCAAAATTAGGTTCATTTTGTAAAAAGTTGTCAGTTGGGGTGCACGGATGTTTATTGAATATTGACCTCCTTTTTTAAGGTATCAGGCGTTATTTTCTATTAAAACACTGAAATAAATTCATGATATAAATATACCTATTTATTGTAAAAGAGATTTGGTGCAGATTTGGTCAAATTAGGTGCATCCTTTATGTAGATAGCCCGTCGTGAAAACGGCTATCGTATATCCGCTATTATTCGCATTCCGATTGCTCAAAATGCTGCGCACCTCTGCACCTGGCTTTCGCAAAGCGGCAGTGAATGTAAAAGATGTTAAATGACAAACGAAGTGACAAGTGACAAATGCGGTGCATTGCCGCTACAACATCAATGTTTTAATAAGGAACTAATTCCCTTTGCACTCTATCATTGGTAGTGCACCTGTTCCCTCTTCTATCCTCTTCCTTCCCTCATCGTCCACCGCAGCCGAGCAGCCCATATGGAGATTGGGTCAGATCTGTAGGATATAGCCGCATAGTTGATCGAGAGCACGAAGAACGGATGCACGTGGGGGAAACAAACCGTTTCGAATATCCAGGTCACTTCTGACTATCGTGCTGTAACGGGAAGCAAGGCTGGGACAAGGGGGTAGGGGTATAGGGAAGAGGGTCTGATTTCTCGAGAGAAGAGACGAAATGAGGCGAGGAAGGATGGGTTTAGTGAGGCGTGTCCTGTCACATTCAGCTGGAGAAAAAAAAGCGTACTCGTTGCAATGTTTCCTGTTTGTTTTAGAGTTAAATCGCATTGCGCTGTAAGAAAAAATACATTCCATTTTCACCTAA